CAGGCCAATGCTCAAACCACTGAGCTATCCCTCCCCCCCAGTTGGCATTGATTGAGGAACCCTCTGGATTTTTGGCTGCTTCTATCAAAATGCTCAAGCCGAGGTACCTGGGACCTTGTTTGGGAGGCAGGGCCATGACCCATGCCTGGCTGCGGTGTTTTCTTTGGGCCAGCGGGCCACTTGTTCCCGAAGGGGCTGATTCTCAGCCAAAAATTGCATCACCTGAGCTCACCGTGCATGATTTTCTGCCTGGAGATGGTCAACCTGCTCCTGTGGTCCTGGTGTCCGTTGGGGTGTGCTGGGGGGCGGTGAGCCTGCTGCTTCCAGTCCCTCACTGAGGCCATTTCCACAGAGGGAGTTAGGGGTGTGGCCCATGCAAACTTTCACAACTGGGGCTTGGGTGGTCAGGCATAGTGGCTAGAGCAGTGACGGTCGGAGGCCAAGAACAGCATCGAAGGGCAGAGCCCGAGTCAGGAACCAGGGGTCAGAGCCAAGGCTCAGAGCTGGGGTCAGTTGTCCAAGAGCGAACTGGCAGGCAGATCTGTAGCTACAGCTGGCGGAGGAGTCTGTCTTGTTGCACAGACGCTTCTGGGAACCCCTCCTGGGCTTAAATAGGGAGCCTGGACCAATAAGGGGCCATGGGAGAAGCTGTCAGTTCGGCCATCTGGGGTGGTACTTTCTGTGGTAGGTACGTCCATAGGGTCTATGTGCTAACGCTGCTGGGTAATGACATGGAGGCACTGGCCATCCTGCACCCTGCCCATCTGGGTTGGGGTCTCTGCAGCACCTCACACCCTGGCATCCTTCACCTAGGAGGTAAACGGACAGCAAGAAAGAGGGCTGTTGGCCAGGCCTGGCTGAAACCATTGGAGAGAACTTTGGGTGAGAAAAGCTTCTTTAGACAGGAGGGTCAAACCCGGTAGGTACGTTTAGGCTCCAGAAAGCGTGTTATTGATTGTGTTTTATACGTAACCATCTGTTTCCAATGTTCTGACTCACTAGGTCTAGACTGTTCTTTGCTAATATTCTTGTTTTCGCTCGTGTGTGTTTAGCAGAGCTGGGTTCTGAGGCCTAGGTAAGAAGCTGGTGTGTTGGGAACAGCGGTCCTGGTAACTCAGTGTTCAGGGGAGCAGGGGCTGGATACTACAGGGAACATTTGGAGGACTTGGGGCCTTTCTAGCACTCGCTGTGCAAAGAGAGCGAGGCCTGGGAGGCAGTTCTTGTGCTACCAGAAGCTGGTGGTTTCAGGGAGCTGATCCCAACAGGGCCAGACAAGATGTCCTCACAGGAAGGGCAGGGGCCTCACAACCCTGGGTACCCCTGCGAGTGTCACCGATGGGTACAGTGAGTAACTTCCCTGGGGCGGGTTAGTCCACCATTATCCACTGCAGGACCCTGGCCACTGTTGGAAACAGGCCCTGGGCAAGATGGACCATGGGTTTCTGGCAGTCCTTGGGCTCCTCCACGGGGCAGTGCTGTATTTCCTACATGCCATGTTATATTTATTACGGACGCTAGTCCAGTCTTTGCTTTAAGGCAGGAGCACTGGTGCCCCAGAGGAATGTCGTCTGGAGTAAGCCTGCACTGCCACGCGTGGGGATGGCACAGGGCTATGCCAGTGTGGACAGAAAATAGGGGATGCTGGCCTGACCCTAGTTTCAGGTCACCAAGGAAGAAGAGGCCTCTTGCCTGCACTTCTAGAATTTACTATATTGGACAAGCTCCACATCGCCCAGGGATACATCACTCAGCACATCAGATGGGCAGTGCTCAAGGCAGGGCTCCTGCCTGAGGATAAAAATAAACGTAATTCAGCTGCGTCATCCACTCAGTTTCCAGTTCATCCTGTGCACTGAACAGGCCGGGGTTCGGCAGGAACAACATCTGTGAGCATAGAATTAAGGACGGGATCACAATGCATACACACCAGAAGGCGGAATTAAGGCGGCATGGACATAACTGACATTTCCTGCCTCTTCAGCTCTTCAGTGTGCAGCCTTAATGTGCTTTGAACAATTTTTACATGGAATTATTAGAGCATTAATTAACACTATCAAGCCTAATGACCGGTGGTTGAGATACAGAGTATCCTTTAGAAAGAGACGGACAGTCCTGACGTAAAAAGACTCCAGGTGATGAAGAATCCACTACATCACTTGGTAGATTGCTGCAATGGCTAATTATTCTCAGTTAAAAATTTGTGACTTAGTTCTAGGCTTGGCAGAATTTGATTGTTTAAACATGTCATTGGACAATGTTGATATTTATTTTGAAGCATTTTTATGAACAATTTAACTTTTTACAGTTGTGGGGAATTATCGGAGGGGTTGGACAATTGTTTCATGACAGAAGCGCTTTTGAATTTCAAAAAAGTAAAGCTTTATAAACCATTGAAACACCAATTGTCAGCATCATGTCAAAGTATACAAAGTAAATACCCCTTACGTCAAATCATAACGGTTGTCAATATTCATTCACTAGCCCATTTGCAACAAGCCTGACCCAGACGTCTAAATTACCGGGTTTTGATTCTGATGAGTTCTCAAGCAGAGAACTCCCCCACCCCCCTTTTGCCTATCTGTGAATTCTTATTATTGATGGAAATATTTTTTTCACCCATTTGTGTGTGTACAGTGAAATTGACATTTACCGATCTCAAATCCTTCCAAATCTACCTATTTCCAGTTTGAATGTTTTATCTTTAAATTCCAGCCCTTGAACCTTGGCCTGCCTTGGTTTGCTAACTTAAATATCTCTGTTATCAGAGACCTTCTCCCCACATAGGTATTTACAGCCCGCGATCCAGTCATATCTCAACCTTCTCTTGAAGAAACTAAATAGTTTGAGCTTTAGTTTCCCTGGGGAAGGTAGGTTTTCCCGACTTCAAGTCATTTGTGTGGCTCTTATCTGAACACTTTCCAATTTGTCAACCTCCCTTTTTGAAACGTGGACACCAGAACTGGATGTATGATCCTAAAACTGTCTCACTCGTGCCATATACAGAAGTTATCCCATCTCCTTACTCCTGCTTGATGGTCCTCTGCTTAACATCCAAGGGCCACAGTAGGCTTCCTACACACTGCAGTGCACTGGGAGCATGTTTAGTTGGTTTCCACCAGAACATTGACATCCTTCTCCATGTCCCTGCTTTCCAGGAGACAGCTCTGTATCCTGTCATTGTGACCTATATTCTTGCTTCCTAGACGGATGACTTTGCATTGGGCTGCATTAAACCACATTTGTTTGTGCCCAGGTTACGGAGTGATCCAGGGTTTAAACAGTGAAATCCTGGATTGGTCTGTTTCCTTCTGCAAACCCTGTGGACGTCAGTCACTCAGGGGAGGAAGGTGGGTCGAAGTGGTTTGTTTCCACTCGAGGGTTAATAAAGGCGACTCCCTGTCCTAGGTGGAGCTGTCGTGTTTTAATGTGTTCTGAGCTGCATGTGAGTAGTAGCATAAAGAGTGTCTACCCCACAAAGAAGCCCCATGGCAGTGAGTCTGAGAACCTGGATTCTATCAATGGTTCATTGTCAAACTGGGAAGGTGTACCTAGTGGGGTCCCCCCAGAGCCAGTCCTGGGTCCGGTACTATTCACTATTTTCATTAATGATTAGGATAAGGGAGTGAAGAGTATGTTTATAAAATGTGCAGATAACACAAAGCTGGGAGGGGTTGGAGACAGCTTGGAGGACACAATTAGAATTCAAAATGACCATGACCAGTTGGAGAATTGGTCTGAAATCAGCAAGGTGAAATTCAATAAAGACAAGTACAAAGATCTTGACTTCAGATGGAAAAATCAAATGCACAGCTACAAAATGGGGAATAACTGGCATGGTACAGTACTGCTGAAAATAATCCGGGGGTCATAGTGGATCATGAATTGAATGAGTCAATAGTGTGACGCAGCTGCAAAGCAGACTAATATTGTGGGGTGTATTAACAGGAGCATTGTATGGGAATTGGGGGGGGGGGTAATTGTCCCACTCTACTTGGGATCAGCTGGAGTACTGTGTCTAATTCTGGATACCACACTTTAGAGAAGATGTGGGCAAATTGGAGAGTGTCCAGAGGAGAGCAACAAAAATGATAAAAGGTTTTGAAACCTCACCTATGAGGGAAGGTTAAAACCCCCAATAACAACTGGATATGTTTAGTCAAAAGAAAAGAAGACCGGGTGGGGGGGGGGAGACAAGACCTGATAATAGTCTTCAATTATGTTAAAGGCTGTTATAAAGATGACTGTGATCAATTGTTCTCCATGTTCACTGAAGGTAGGACAAGAAGTAATGGGCTTAATCTGCAGCCAGGGAGATTTTAGGTTAGACAGCAGAAAAAACTTTAATCACAAGGGTAGTTAAGCTCTGGTGTAGGCTTCCAAAAGAGCTGTGGAATCCCCATCATCGGAGATTTTTAAAAACAGATTGGACAAACACCTGTTAGACCCTCCTTATGTTTACTTGAGCCTGCCTCAGTGTAGGGGGCTGGACCTGATGACCTCTTGAGGTCCCTTCCACCCCTACATTTCTATGATTCTATAAGGGGAGACATGCTTACAATCTAGAACTACCTACATAGAGAATAAATATTTAATAATGGGCTCTTCTGTCTAGCAGAAGATATAACCTGATCCAATGGCTGGAAGTTGAAGGTAGACAAATTCAGGCAGGAAATGAGGTGTGAATTGTTAAGGGTTGAGTATAATTAACAATTGGAACACAGTTTACCAAGGGTTGTGGTGGAGTCTCCATCACTGGCCATTTTAAAAATCAAAATTGGATGTTTTTTTGAAAAGATCTGCTCCAGGAATTATTGTGGGGCAGGGCTCTGGCCTGTGTGAAGCAGGAGGTCAGACTAGATGATGACAAAGATCCACGCTGATCTTAAAATCTATGAACAACACAGGCCAGACATGGCGTTGCTCCTTCCACCAGTTCAGGGAGCTCTTCACGTGCAAGGGGACCACGACCTGTCTGTCCAAGGTGTCCCTAGTCAGAGAACAGGCAGTTCTCAACCAACCTTGGAAGAAGTAGAGGTGTAACCTTGCACGGTGTCGATTGGTCCCAAAGGTGCACGCTAGCATATTGCCAAGGAGTTGAAGACAGCGCCTTAGTGATGTCTGAGGGCTTCCCTGAATCATCCCTACCAGTCCCCACAGTCACAAATTTGTTTGAAAGAAGGTACACGCCGGCTGTCCCTGAGGCCATGTATGCCCCTATAAATGGTATTCCTTGCACTGGTACTAATGTGGGTTTCTTTACATTCAGCTATAGGCCCGACTCTCAGAACAGAGCCTTCTGCCTGGATGACATCGCCTGGAAAGAGCAGCCTTTGAGAAGCCAGTCGCTGAGGTACAAGTAAGCCACCACTACCGCTCGAACCTTCAAGAACACTCTTGGGGCTGAAGATGGACCAACAGAAAAGTCACTTGTTATTGGAAATGATCTTTGCCGACAGTGAATCGTAGCTATTTCCTGTGTGATGGGAATTTGGCTATATAGAAAGAGGTTTTTTCTAGGTAAAGGGATGAAAACCAATCACCTTCCTCTAGAGCAGGAATTATGATTAAGAGTCACCATCCTGGTCTTTTTAGGTTTCACAAATTTGTTCTTAGATCTAAGAGTGGCCTCCAATCTCCATCCTTTTTCAATACTAGGAAATATTCTGAATAGAACCCCCTGCCCCTGTGAGGGGAAGGGACTGGCTCTATCGCTCCTAGCTGGAGGAGTGTCCAGCTCTTGCCTTAGAAGACCATGAGAGGGTCCAGGAATGGGTGTGAAAGGTAGTGGCAAAAACTGGATGGCATAGCCCGATGTTATGACCACCAAGATCCATTGGTCTACGGTGATCCGCTCCCAGGCCTGGTGAAAATGGATAAAGCGGTCCCCACAGGGAGTGAGGTTAGAGATGTTGGAGGGCAGATGAGGAAGTCACCCCTGAAACTCCCATTGTGTTGTTGCTGCTGGATGAGGTACTCATGCTTCCCCCCTCTTTCCATCGCTGACAATTTCAGGGCCTCCTTAGAAGGGTAGCGAGTGCTCTACAGCTCCCTCTGGAGGATGTCAAAGACTAGCAGCACAGACTGCTTGATGTTTTGCACTCAGCAACACCCTCCAGAGTGGCACCACCTGTTAATGAGGCTCTCCTGGATCCAGCTCAGACAGCATGGCAGAGGCCATGCCACCACCATCCAAACAGGTTCCAGGTGAAACTATTGGCTGAATCTGACCCAGATTAGTGAGTAGGTGCAGTCCCTCCCCCCCATGAACTTTTTGGGGCACATTTACTATTCACCAAATTTTTGTTTGCCTCTCTACTCCAGCAGGATCTTTGTGCAACACCTGCTGATTCATGATCGGAACCCTTAGGGTTCGCAATAGTGGGAATCACAAATCAGGCCTTTCAAAATCCTGAGATTTTAAGTATCAGGCTCTGTACATTGACCTTCTGATGTTTCCATCCCCGCCTGGAGGAGCCACTCCAGCTTTTCTCCCCACACAGGAGGGCTAGAACCTGACCCTTGTTTTAAAGGCCAGCTGAGATTCTCCCATATTCATAGGAGTCCAGGAGCTGGGGTTTCATTGAATTCATCACAGATCATGAGACTCTAACACCCTGAGACACAAGCTTTCACTCTCATCTCTCTCACCAACAAAAGTTGGTTCAATGAAAGGTATTAACCCCCCCCAGCCCACCTCTCTGATGTCCTGGGACTGACATGGCTACAACACCGATAACATCCTGAGTCAGCCACACTAGACAGCAATTATAGGTGAGGCCTTGACAGTGGGGAACACCATGGTAGTGATGTAAGTGGGGCCCTCATCTTCAGGGTGAGAACTACTTGCAGGCAGGGGTGGTTTTGTGTGAGCACCGGGGGAGCAAGCCCTCTTCCAGGGACTTTGCTTGAAGACTTGTGTGCCAAGGGGAAGAGGAGCAGGAGATGCGTTAGGAGCAAGGAGTCTGTCATGGGCAGGGAGAGAATCGCCAGCTGGAGGGAGGGAGGCTAGCCCCCAGCCCCACCCCTTCCACACCAGAGCTCACAGCTCCACACCGTGGCCACGGGCCCCCACCCCAGGTTAATGCCCACAGCCCCGGGAGGGTGGGTAGCACGGCTACAGCCTCCCCAGCCCCAGAAGGCATGGCCCAAGCCTGAACTGGGGCCACCACACAGAAGGAGCTGCAGAGCAGGAAGGGGTCTGGGGCAGGGCCACGCCTGGCTGCTTGGGGAGGTACAGCCACCCCTAGTCTAGGATACCCACCGCCCATAGAGCATCGGGTAACCCCAGAGGGGGAACGACTGAGGGTAGCATTCCTAGGGCCTGCAGCAGGACTAATCCTCCAAACCCCTTTCGCAGGAGACTCAAGAATGAGGACTAAGGGCCAGGGCCGCTTTCTCCCATCCCTTATGCCCTGCCAAAGGCAGCTGTGCACAGGCTGGGGCTTTTAATGAAAGCAAGCTGCTTTAGCCTCCTCCTCTCAGGCAGGGGAAGCTTTATGAGCCAGGAAACCATTTCCACATTGCTTTGGTTCAGCCCCTGCTTGGCAGCCCGGCAGCTAGTTGATTTACAAGGGGGAGAACTGCACGCGGGAGGCAGATGCCTCTACGGGTTCACAGGCCTGCCTTAGGCCCCCAGCCTGCAGCAGGGACGGCGGGACGCCCCTTCTGCATTTGTGGGATCTGTTTTATGCCCCGGGAGCAGGTGCCAGCAGTGGCAATGGGCCCAGCGGGTACCAAGTCATGGTGAAGGTTGCTGTGTGCTAGTTCTTCCAGAGGATGCAGGACAGCCCTTTGAATACTTACTGCCCTTCCCCCCACCCCCCTTTCAGGTGCACAGGACCCTGGACCCCCAATTTCCCCCCCTCCAAAAGCAGCCTGCATTTTAGTGCCTGCCCTCTGGGCTACTCCCTTGGGGGCCGAGGGCCAAGGCTCAGAGCAGATTGCTAAGAGGTACTCAACAATACTCAGCTCATGGACCGTGCAAGCCCCAGCCAGGACTACTCTAAGCCAGCCCTGAGCGTGCTGAGAGGCAAGTCCTTCTCCCCTGCAGCCCAGGCTCACCGGCCTAACAAACAGCAGCGACGCTAGTCTAGGTACGGTGGTAGGTTTAATACAATCTCAGTTCTTTTTTCAAACCCAGGGGGCCCAAGACAACCCAGCAGTGCAGACAGCTGGGCCACATATAAATCACAGTTCTAACAGCAGCACATTTCCCCCTCCCCTCCCTGAACCACCCCCCGCCCATTTACCTCATTCCCACGCACAGGTGCTTCCCCTTGTGCTGCAGTCAGCACCTCGCCCTTCCTCCAGCTGCAGGACAAGGGAAGCGTTGGCACAGGCTGGCTGGGTGCAGTCTGTGCAGAGACCAGCCGCGCTGCCCCCCAGACTCTGTTCACAGCTAGGTTAAGCAGCAGCTTGGAGAGGCATTACCCCCCTGGCATGCTCTGCTACTGGTCCTCACCCATCCCCTCCCGCCCTACATACAATCCCTCAGCTGGGCAGGCCCTGGCCTCTAGTGACCAGGTTACAGGCTTTGGCTGGTGAGGGCAGGGGGGCTTTGGAAGTGTCATGTACTGGAGTTCCATCCCTTGCTCCGGCCCTGCACAGCCTGGGAACAGCCCAGCCAGCAGAGGGAAATCCAGCACAAGCTCTTCCATAAAGAATCTACAACCCCTCTCCTACCCCTCACAGAGCGAAGTCCACCCTCAGCTTAATCCCCAACCCCCCTTAGACAGCGAGGCTGGCCCAGCCTGGGGAGGAAGGGGTGGTGGTGGTGGTGATGATAAAGGCACTAGCCTGAGAACCAGTCTTGGCTCTACTAGACTTCCTTCCTGTGTGACCTCAGACCAGTCACTTAACCATTGTGTGCCTCAGTTTCCCTATCCGTAAACCAGGGACACTCCCCCTGGTGAGGACACAATGCAAGACGTACGTAACCCCTAGCAACGGGCAGGCCACAGAGCTGCCTGGATGGAACCTCCCCCTACAGTGTGAACACCCAGCTCTCACTGTCCTCACCCCACCCTGGGGTGGGAACCAAACTACAACTGCTTTCTGATGCCTTATCCTCTGACCCCTGGGGCATGCCATCCATCCTCCTCGGAGCCAGCAACAGGATCTTGCCAGCACCAGGAAGATGGATGGAGTCACAAGCCAGTGGCTATGGCTTGCAGTGACACGATTGAGAGTCCCACTGTTTTACCCTGTCGCTGCTCTCCCACAAAGCCCTGCCTTTAACTGGGGCCCATTCTGCAGTCGTATTAAATCCCAGAGAGGCAACGGTGTCCTAGGACAACATTTAATTGCACGGGTGTAAGGACGTCCTTAAGGAAACGGCTGCTCCTGAACCATCCCACAGCAGGGACAGTGACGTGGGCCCGCTGCGGAGATGTTTACTGGAGGGTCACTGGTGCAGGTCAGATATTAACGCACTAGAGAAGGTCTTCGCCACGGGAGAAGGCCTCTGCGGGGAGGACTGAGATTGGTGGAAAAGGGTAGTTGGAGAAAAACAGCAGCAGTTATTAAAAAGCCGCTAGGTCTGCCTGTCTGGGACATTTGCTGCAGCATATCCCAGCCCAAGGCAGGGCAGGTTAGTGGCTTGGATTACAGAAGAGGCTGCCAGTGATCAGTCTTCTCTTGAACTCACTCCAGAGGAGGTCCCTCTCGCGTTTGGCTCTCTTCATGAAGCCCCTGTTTTCCAGGGCCCTTCTGGACAGGTACGGCAGCACTTCGTTCACAGGGCCGTAGGGAACGTATTTGTAGACTGGATAACCTGCTTGCCCTGAGGAGAGAAATCAAGGTAACTTACAGGATACAGTGGGCATGAATCTCTGCTAGTGCAAATCAACCCCACTCCATTGACACCAGTTCACACCAACTCAGGATCTGGCCTCCCAGAGCAAGATTTTGGAATTGCACCTGGGAAATGCTCCTAGTGCAGCTAGACCAGAGGTGGGCAAACTATGGCTCGCTGGCCACATCCAGCCCACAGGACCGTTCTGCCCGGCCCCCAGCCCTCTCCCCCTGCTGTTCGCCCCCCCCGCAGCCACACGGGCCGCGCTCTGGGCGGCGGGGGTTGCGTGCTCCTGCCGAGCAGAGCGGCAGCATGTCTAGCTCCGGCCAGGTGGCACGGCTGCCAGACATGCTGCTCTGAGTGGCATGGTAAGTAGGCTGGGGGGTTGGATAAGGGGCGGGGGGTCCCGGGGGCCAGTCAGGGGACAGGGAGCAGTGGTTCTGCAGGGGAGGGGCTAAGGGTACTGGGGGGTTGGATAGGCGTGGGGTCCTGGGGGGCCTGTCGGGCCTGTTCAGGGCAGGGGTGTGAATAGGGGGTGGGATCCCAGGGGGGCAGTTAGGGGACAAGTAGC